AGATACTGGTTAGTCTTCCTGCCCTAAGCAAGCCCCTACATAACCAAACTGAGAACAATTGTTGGGGCAAAAGTGATACCCATATAGATGGTTACTCAGTCTGTCAAATACATACCTTTCATCATAGGAACAAACAACAAAATGGTTTCCTTTGAGGAATCGAGGGGTTTCCTGTTTGGGTTATAGGCCTTACAATGTGAGTTGCCTTTTTATCCTATAGGCATATATTACTTGGATAAGTATAAAGTTGGTTTTAAAAATTAGTGAACTTAGAGGTTATAAAAGCAGAGTACACAAATACTCCTTTTAAAAAAAAGGCAGAACCAAAAACAGGAAGACGGTGATGGTGTTTTTCTTGATATCATTCAGAACTCATCTATGTGTCCCGTGTCTCATAACAAAGTAGGGGCCTCAGGACCCTCTGCCAGGCTCACTCCAGCCAACATCTCCTCTCTCTACAACCGCTCCCCACATGCTGTCTAAGCTCTGCTGGGCCACTTCGTGTTCCCTTTCCAACTCCTGTACTTTCTCTCATGGAGCCTTTCCTTATAGTGCAGTTATTGTTCCCCTTCTGTTCACATTCTCTCTCTCTCTCTCTCCTCTTTCTCTCTCTCTCTCTCTTCCCTTCACAAACTCCTCTTGTTCTGTCCCCATCCCTACCTATTCATATCTCAGCTCATGGATCATAGCATTTCCCCTTTCTTTTAATTGCTATGGTATTGCCCTTTATACCACTTACCATAAGCAGCCTTGCATCACAGTAGATTGTGAACTTGTCCTGTCTTTGTTAAGAGCCAGAAGGTGACATATTGCAGTGATATTTGTTCCTCCAATAGAGCCTGGGAGAGTGCTGGCATATTCCAGGTATTGACTCAGATACTAATTGAATGAATAAATTAATCTTTCATTAAATGTGAAATCTGTTCAGTCATATGGCCCAATGCTAAACTTCTGTATCCATGACAGTAAATAGGACTGGAGGTAAGGTTTCTGTGTTTTAATTTTAAGACAGTTTATGTGCTTTCTCCTACGGGGGAAGATCATGCTCAGAGCCCAGAGGGTAAACTGCTCCCTAAAGTTGTTCTCATGTTGCCTCTCTGAGGAACATGAAACACTTGTCACCTGGAGGTTGACGTTTTTATTTGTCTCTGCAGGGGTTACAAGTAGCCTGGCACTGAGGAAAGTGTTGCAAGCAGGACATCACCTGGCCTCCAGGTAGAGAAGCTCCTGGACATGCCCTTGCACCTGAGGGGCAGTAACACAGCTCAAGGTGTAGCAGGAAAAAGGGAAACCTCTCATGAGGCCAGACCACTAATATAAAAAGGAATCAATAAACACTCAATGGCATAACATGGTCACCTAGGTACTGAGGTGCAGCTTGGACTGGCACCCACAGCTTCCTAAGCTAAGCTCTGTTCTATTTCATCACACTTTATGTCACATTCCCCACATGTCTTTATAGCCATTCAAATTATCACCTCACCAGTTATCCCAGTATTACCAAATACTTGCCATTCATACCGATAACCAAATGACCATCAGTATTATGGTGTGTACAAACAGCAGAGTGCCGCAGAGCCATTAAACAGAATAAGGTAGAATCTATGAGATCTGATCCAGGGAGGGCTTTAACATACATTGCAACAGGAAAAAGTTAGTGTGGAATAGGATTTCCCCCTTTATGTCATTCATTACTCAAGTACCAACTTTTCAATAAGGCTTTTCTTAACCACTGTACTTATAATAGCAAATACTGCCCACTCTTGTTCCTGGCTTTTTCTCCATTAGCATTTATCCCTACTTGACATAATATATATTTTATTCATTTGTTTATGATCTACCTCCTCTACTAGTATGCAAGCTGCACGAGGTATTTTCTGTGTTTATTTACTGTTTTTCCTCCTAGTGCCTTAGAATGACTGGATGCATATGGTAAAAAAGTTTATTATTTGCACAGCACAGTTCTGGAAGTCTACCAAGCCCAGCAGTAGTTATCTCTGAGCAGTTGAACTAGGAGTATGTGGGTGGAAGACTAACTTTGAGAGTATGTATCTCACCATGTATGTGTATTGCTTTTTAAAATAAAAACACTAGCTTAATCCCATTTAAAGTGTTCCTCAAATGGCTATAATGAAATAGAGGTTATTTAGTCAGCGCTAGTTATTTCTGGATCTGAGATAATGAACACCATTCACAATCTCTCTTCTTTGTAGAAGTCAAGTTGTAAGTGGGCCACATTTTAAGCCCATGGACTTTATATTTTAGGAAACCTTTACCAACACACTTCTCTGTCACAGTGGTGCCGGCTGTAGTTATGCTTGGGGAGGGGGTTGTTTACATCAGATACATTTATATCTTCTAACTTTCAGGTAGATGAGCCAGGCAGGTTACTTGACCACCCTGAATCTGTTTCCTTGCCTATAAAATTGGGATAATTTTTCCTATGAACAAAGGGTATTGTCCAAGCAAAACAGAATGGAGTCTGTATATTCAGTGTCTAGCAGTATCTGATTCAAGGCGGGGCTCCCTTTCCCTGCAGAGGTGCCTCAGATAGAAGACTCTTAGTGATGTATTCTTGGCTATAACTACTACAGGTGTGGTCCCAATATCATCAAGGCGTTTATTAGAAATGCAGTCTCAAGCCTCGCCTGATCTAATGAATCAGAATCTGTACTTTAACAGAATACCCAGGTGATTCTTACGCACAGTAAGGTCTGAGCAGCTGTTTTTAAGCTTCTTGTAGCAGTGTTCCAGACAGGTTTAGGTTACTCATGTATTTATTTTCTGTATTTTATGATACTTGCTATCTTAGGGCCTTGGAGACCCAGGTGAAGGCACGTCTCTTCCCGGGGTGCCCTAATTTCTAGAGATATAGAGATAGCAAACACTTTGCCTGGGGCTACAAACACTTTGATAAACAAACCAAGCAATCCTGAGTCTATGTCCCCACCAGCCTCACCTTATCAGGCTCCTGCAGTCCAGAACATGATCCCCCTTCCCTAAATCACCAGAGGGCTAGTATTTGAACAAGTAGGAACCAATCCTGTACCCCAACCCACTGAAATTATTTTTTTAAATGTTTTTATTGATTTAGAGAGAGAGAGGAAGGGAGAGAGAAACATCCATGAGAGAGAACCGTGGATCAGCTGCTTCCTCCATGCCCTCTGCTGGGGATCGAGCCCACATCTCAGGGCATGTGCCCTGACAGGGAATTGAACCGGAGACCTCTGGGTGAATGGGACAGCACTCAACCAACTGAATCACACTGACATTATTGAAACTGTCCATTCCTATACCTTCTTACCTTGCCTTGCTTTGCCTTTCCTGTGGAAACCACAGTGAAGGCTGTTGGCCATGTTTTCCCCTCACTCCCTCTGCTCCTGACCTACTCTGGCGCCTGCCCCTGTGGCCCAGTGTGGCTCGGCCTGGTATTGCATACCCCCCTCCTCTTGGGAACTGTAAGTAGCAAACTATCTTTTCAGTGGCAAACATGCCATAATTTGAATAAAACCAAATCCCAGGTACATTTTAAAACAAGGCTGCCCTTTTAAATTTTTTCCTAGTTCACTGCCACCTGCTCCCCCTCCCCCTTTGACTTGCCAGCTTCATTTTCACTTGAAGAAGTGTGAGGGTGCCCAGCAGAGCCAGATGTTCCGGTGTGGCATGACTAACAGGCTGAAACATGGGAGGATGCTTAAGCCACCTCATCAGCCTAAACTTACTTTTAAATAAAGATGATCAAGGATAACCATGAACAAGGTTGTAAATCTGCTTAATGTAGTGTGACTACTTTGAATACCAATAATGCTCCTTAAGCACAGCTTTGAACACTTCAGAAACTGCGATTAGAAATGATTAAGACTTTCACGATAATGGAACCGTTTGAATGGAAACACACAAACTTACTGACAGTATTCTGAGGTGTTAAGGGAACAAATGAAAACCTGCCATCCACATCCATTCATTTTCCCTGTGGCTTCTTAATATGGTAGCTATGCTTTAGGTGGACACGTCTCCTGTCGCCATGCCGGCTCCCTCCCACATGGGCATTACCTCTTATCTCCTTGTTTGGAAAAGATTCTTGGTATGTGGCAGTGAGCTAACTAAAGCTGAGGTTAATAAAAGCAAACGTTAAAAGAAGATAAAGGGGGCTTTTCTCCCTGTGACTCAAAGTGAAAAAAATACAATAAGGATTATCTTTTTCAGAAATATTCCGTATTTGTTAGATAAGATGATGAGAATAGAAGATAGTAATTTTATAGTAACATTTCCCTTATAAAAGCTTTACTACCATCTTATTAAGTAATTAGAATTTGATAAGCAGCTTTTAATTAGAAATATTAGACAAGGAAATTTTTCATTGACTATCAGAATTGTTTCCATAAGAAATAAACCCTTCTCACCACACACACACACACACACACACACACACACACACACACACGTAACTACATGAGGTGATATATAGTGTTAACTCACTTTATTGCAGTAATCATTTCACAATATACAGTATATGTATATTACATCATCATGTGCACACGTTAAATTGATATGATTTTATTTGTCAATTATAGTGCATTAAAACTGGAAAATATAAGTAAAGAAACCTATTTGTTATGACCACAAAAAGAAACTTTGGCTGCAGATGTCAGGTTTTGCTCCCCATAACTGGCCCTACTAGAGTCACTGTACTGCCCAGGCAGTGTCTACAATCTGACTTGTGGCCTATAACAGTGTCCCCTGAAACCACAGGCTTGTTTTTCAGTAGGTATTTTGTTTGCTCCTTGACCCTTTTCCAAGAAACCTCATTTGCCCAGGGAGTGTGG